GTATTTCCGTATGATAGCACCGCCGTTCCCACGCCCACGTGGTGATTAGAGGATTCCGCGTTAAATTACTATCATTATCCAGTTACTAAAATAGAAATATGTTTAGCCAATAGCTTTTATATTATTAGGGGTTAAATTCTGATTTCTAATTGCAGTTCCTGTAGTATTAAAACACATTTCAAACGCGTATTAATTAGCCGTTTTTTTTAATAAAATTACTTTGACACTGACTGTTCAATTATACTCTCTTGTATTATTGTAAAGATCGCCCCGTATTAGTCATTGATTGATTACGTAGTCCTCTGAGGTCTGTGTCGAAGTCAGTTGTAAAAGATCGTATTCAGGGGTTTGGATGTGGAATTTTTATTCATTGTAAACTGAAATCCGAAATCGCGTATCCGTGTCTATTGTTCAATATATGAAAATCGTACTTCGATAAACACTCTCTTTAGATCGTAAATTGAACGAATTGCTCACAATATTATCATATTTCAATATTTACGGTAGGTAGCGGCTTGGCTCTGCCCCTGGGTGGTGCTGAAATTCATGGGCGACGGTAACCACTCACCATCAGGTGGGCCTTATGGTCGTCGGCCTTCAAGGCATAGATTAATAAATAGTTATGTTAAAGGGCAATGTTTTTTTTACGAAGAAACTGAAAAACTGGTCACTATACAATCGTAACAATTTGAAATATACGCATGCATTTGTGTTTGGTATTTGATGTGTATTTATTTATGCATAAATATTAGTGTTTACAAAAAAATAAATTTATGAAATTCAAACCATATTCAATTTTCTGCAAATGCTTTTTGGACTTTATTGTTCATCAGATTATTATTCTTCATCTCAAAGCCGACGTGTAAGTAAGAAGTAAATGTTAACAGGTCATGCTATAGGCTTGCCTAGGGTGAGCAATGCGGATGTTTAAACTATAATTTGCTCTTCATAAAAGTTTTGGATTTAAAAAAAAAACAAGAATAAAACATTGAGTTTCTTTTATTAAATCGTCACGAATGCACCGCGGTTTCGTATTGGCAATGATTCCATTTTATTTCGGAAAGTATGGGACGGTATTGGCGCTATGGGCTCAATGGGTTCCAGCAATCTATGAACATCAAGTCGACCGCGAGGAAAATAATAAACTCTTAGTCATGTTCCTGCGAACCCTTGCCAATGAATCACGTATCTAAATGTAAATGACATGAGCGACCACCCGTGCATCTGTGACCGTACCGGAGAACACTAAACAGGAAAACTTCGTAAGAAACAAATTCATTACAATGACTTGATAAATTCAGTTAATTATGACGATTAGGCTTGTTTTATGATAATGATTATTATTTTAAGGTACGATCAAATACATTACCGGTATATTCTGATGCCGAAGTAATATAAAAATTACTGATATATATACCGGTATATACTGATGCTGAAGTAATATAAAAATTACTTTTAGAGCTGCATATATTTATATGCTTTGGAAGAATTTAGATAAAAAGGAAGATCTTCCACCGAGCGAGTGATATTGCTCGATAAACTGACGATCCGAATCTAATTGTTCGGAAATTGTATATATGCAGACTTATCTTGAAAATGCCTTAGCGAGATTCGAGCATCTATCAAATATCTTTTTTTCTTTAGAACAGATCATAATAGCTATCGCTACAATGTAGTTTTATTATTATTTGTCTTCGAGAATTGCGATTTACTCGGTCTAATGGTGTCTTAGATGTCCCGTAGAGGTCACGAACCTAACATTGTATAAGTACTTAGTACATTAGGTATAATTTCAGATATTCAGAAAGTGGGTTTCAAAGTTATTTTAAAGTAATTCTTTATGATAATTCTGAAATTCAGATGTATTCTACGAACCGTTATGAAATGTTACAAAATTTAAAAAAACTATAGGGAGACGAAAGAACTAAATCTGCGGTTATGTAGAATAGTCCTCCAAAGGCATAATGGTATATTAAAATAATATGTTTGCGTGAATTTGTTGCAAATAATTAGAAATTCTCATAGCTGCAACTGGTAAGCTCTTGTTACACAAACATTCTTCAGGGTTGAAATAACTTACAATCAGACATAGAACTAACGCAGAACAAAAAAATAGTCTCTGTAGAAATACAGTAAGCAAACGCCGTAACTGGTCAATCCTTTATTTTAACACCACACAAGTACATAAGTAAATGAATGCAATGGAACGTAACGTTAGAACATTTTTACGTGTCCCCGAAAACGCGGTACCAAAGAAACTTATCCTGACAGGTTGATCGTTTTTTGACAGTTGACGTTAAGCTCCATTTGGGCGCGTTCATTATAACAGTCTCCATTAAAATAAAATAAAAATTAATTTTAGTAGAGGATGTTTATCATCTATATTTTTTTTATGTATTTGAAACTATACGAGCCTATTACGATTTATTTACATTGGCACGTGGTCAGCATCGCTCCTAAACATAATTCGTATTAGCTTCGAAGCCAAGCCACTATTTTACCTTGAGTACCCCATTCAAACCATAAAAAGACATATCATAGCGTTTAAGAAATTCCGTGGAGGGGAGATGATGATGAGACGCACTGTTTATGAATGCAGTCAGCGATCACAGGAGTCTGAATTCCCTGATGTAAAATTGAAAGTAAAGTGCCATATTAACTCTAAAAATTACGCTGCCAAGTGCCGCCCAGATAATTCAACGCTTTTTTAAATAAATTATGTGAAGCTAAATTTTGAGTGAAGGACAGTGATACCAAGATGATGGGCGCAAACGAAACTCTGGTGAAAACTGATGGTAGGGCGTCTTGTGAGTCCGCACGGCTAGGTACCGCCATGAGTAAAAAAAAAGGAATCTTCCTCTGGCGTCAAGCATACACGCCGATCATGCCTTTAGACCTGACCCTTCCGCTCAATATACTTTGCATTGGCAACCCTAAGCCTGTATGACTCGTTACTCCCAATACATAAAATAATGTGTGGCATTATTCCGGAAAAATCAGAAGTGATATGGACTTCTTAATTGAAATCTTGGTAATTTTTGTTCAGTTTCGACGGGGCCTATATATGTATTATGATTACTTTACGTATTCGGTATGTAGATATAGAGTAAAGCTATCGAGATGCCGATTCAGAATTTCAGATAGCCCGTCTAACGTTAGGCGGGTTTCAGGAGCCTACATATATCACAGTCTGAATACCGCTTTTCGCCAAGACGGATGTTTTACAATCAAATTTGATATATGCATACAATTCAGAGCTACAAAATCAAATAGTCCGAAAATAATAAATTAAAACAGATTCATATTATGTTTCTTAGTGTTTTTCCATCTTTTAGGTACCACAAGCACCGGTTACCGTTTATTAACCCATAGACACAGCCCACTGAGTTTCTCGCCGGATCTTCTCAGTGGGTCGTGTGGTAGATTCTGCGAAGCACTGCTCTTTCCCCGTGAGCTCACTTACATGTTAGGGCGAAACTGAAATAGCCTCTCAAGGTTATCAGTATAGGTAGGAAAAAAAATGTTTTTTTTTAGATGTAACAGGTAAGGGAGATAATGAATGGAACGATGACGAGTTCAATCCCAGGTAGCGTTGCGTGGCCGGACAAAAACCCAAATATTTATTCCCTGGGGCGCTGCGGCCCCTACCAACGGATAACACTCGTCTCAAATATGCTAATCTTACTTCAGTTTGAAGATGATTTCGATTAGATAAAATGAAAGCTTGTTTTACGTATGTACCTAGTAGTAATATTTAAAATAAATGAGTTCTTGTAACAATGTTTACTTGTTGGTTACCTACCACAATATATGGTAATATAGCCGTTGTTATATTGCATGGTAATGGTAGAATTTGGCAATTTTCGCACGCCAATGCCGGGAATATAGTCATGCCGTCATTACGCTCAATTTACCCTACGATGTCTAAAAATATTTGAGGGAATGAGATATGACATTGTCGAATCTATATTTGCGTATCAAAAAGATAAGGTGATGTGAGCTTATTGCCGAGATTCTGCCGTCAGATTTAGACTTAATGTTTCATTGGCTAAAATAACCACTGAAAACCATACGAGTCAACTAATAGCATCTACAGGGTTCTTCTATAATAATATTATAAAGAGGAAAGATTTGTTTGTTTGTTTGTTTCGAATAGGCTCCGAAACTACTGGACCGATTTGAAAAATTCTTTTTCCATTAGAAGCCGACATTGTCCCTGATGAACATAGGCTACTTTTTTTATTTTTATTTTTTTATTTTTGTTTCATGTGTGTTTTAATGTTTCCGAAGCGAAGCGAGGGCGGGTTGCTAGTTTGTTATAAAATTTATAACAAAACGCGATCGTTTCTTTCCAAACACCATCATACCAACAAATCACTTTACTAACTTATAACAGAGTAGATATTTTAATTAACCGTAGAAAGTTGTTTATGTGGCGTAAACAAGTAACAGTTGAATCATTCACAACTGAGTTAATTCCTTACACAAACCCTCGTAGTAAAACAACGCTTATCGACAACACTGCTGCGATTTGTAAATGGTAATTTACTAAAGTGGAAGAGAAAGGGTCCCGATTGCGGAAAACAACATAGATAAGCTTAACGACGACTTGATCGTGGTATAACATGTCAAATTACTAATGAATGTTGTGAAATAAAAGCTCTTAATTTCCCGTTTATGAAATTGATAATATTATAGATGAAATGACATGTTCATTACTATGTTAACTATTTTAATTGCTAAGTACTTTTAAGAATAAAACAAAAATGTGTTCAATTTTTAAACACAAAAAGTTTTTGATGATCGAAGATTCAAACCATAACGGTCTGGCGTGAGTCACTGCGTTATCACAGAGGCTCTCCGTGACGCCAAAACAAAAACCGCCTCCTGCGAGCCCCCTCCTCTACAGCGGCACCACATCCACACACGAGAGCTCGCCGGCTCCGAGCACGACACAAAAAGAAAATAACGAAGTGAAGGGGCGGGCGGAGCGCGCTCACCTTGCAGCTTCTTCTCAGTCTCCCAGAACTTCTGCAGCTCGGTGAAGTACTTGTCGAGGATGAACACCTTGGAGAGGCCGAGCGTGGCCATGGCGGGCGGCGCGCTCGCATCACACTCCGCGGCCGCGCCGCTTCTAACTCGGCGGCGTCCTCTCGCGCTCGCACACGGTCGTTTACTAAAGCCTCCGCCCGCCCCGCACCGCGGCCCGGCCGCGCAACGCTCCCCCTCACCTCCCGCCCTGCCCCCACCCCGCAGCACAGCACGAGCGACACCTACTTTTCGACTAGAAATGGTATTTCCTGAGCGTTTGAACGACCTCGATAGGTCACCGACAAAACGAGACCTGCCCACGCGCAGGATACGCACAAACGGCACTGCATTTCTTGAAGCTGCAATGCATGAGATTTGCAACTCAACTGGAAGAACGAATAAAAAGTGCTAGCTTAAAACAACGAATAAACCAAACTGGTGCTAATATTTAATAACATCAAATGTTTTTCATCGTTAGATTTCGCAGCGAAGCTTCGGTTCCCGATTTACGCCAGCATCAAGTCTCCGAGAAGGGATCGGGAGAGGCAAGTGCAGATACCGAAAGTTCATTTCGTGCATTAAGCGGACAGCGCGCGGCGCGGGCGGCGGCCGGGGGACGCGACACGCAAACAGGTTTATTTGTAAGCTCGCCGAAAGCTATGCGCCCTACCGCCCGCGCCGCACCGCGCCTGCCCAATTCCCGGCCGCTGGTCGCTCGCGGTAATTGTTCGAAAATGATTGCTCTCGGCGTAGTCTGTGTCCGCATACATCAAGCGTTTTGTTTCGTTGAGGAATGCGAAATGAATGAAGTCTAATAGTTTTCAGATATATTGTTGTGACGCGTAAAAATCAATACTTATAGTTCTCGCCTATTTCGGCCGTGATATAGTTATGTTTATAGGGCACGACAAACTAAGAATATTCCGGAGCATTAAAAACTTTGACCTTGTCTCTTAAGGCTAACGGCAGGATTCGTCATGCTCACATCTAACCTGGTAAAGGAAGCGGTTGGAAGCGGGTCAATTGTGTCACTGTCTACTTATCATATACTGGGTTGTATGCTCCTCAACCATCTAAGAGAACAAATAAATTCAGTATAAATTAATCAACCTGTAAACACAAATAATTCAATAACTTTTCATTGAGCTACCCCTTCCTAAATTTTAATTAACTTTATAGCAACTAATTAGAAACGATACATTTAAACACGACTTTTCAAAGATGTTTAAGTTTATTTAAAATCATCAACAGAATCAAACAATTCCTATACAGTTCGATTTCGTACATTCAATATTACAAAACTTGTTCCGATACGTCCCGACCTCTACGCAGACATAAGTCTAGTTAGCTTAACTGAGTTCTAGACAAAGGTTTACTTTCTAAACCGAATCGTGTTCCGAACAAAAGTTACAGCTTCGCTAACAAACACACTCTGAGAGGAGCGCCATCGATCCGCATACATAGCCGCTAGATTATCGATTAACTCACTTCGTAGTTAAAGGCATTATCATGGTTTATTGTTTGGACATAAAACACACGGACGAGTTCTACTATTCACCCGATATCAGCCGCAAATCATTCCAGTTTGACCATTATGCCGCGTAATTATGATTTCGGTCTTACATCATTGAAATGAACAATGGTATTCTTCATGTAGTACCTATGGGGCCTGGTAGCCGTCTAACATAAGATGCTCCGTAAGAAATCTTTCTTTTTTGCTTAGATGGGTGGACGAGCTCACAACCTACCTGATGTTAAGTGGTTACTGGATTCCATAGACATCTACAACGTAAATGCGCCACCCACCTTGAGATATAAGTTCTAAAGTTCTCAGTATAGTTACAACGGCTACTCCACCCTTCAAACCGAAACGCATTACTGCTTCACGGTAGAAATAGACGGTGTTATGGTACCCAAACGTGCGTACTCACAAGAGGTCCTACCACCAGTAAAGCCTATCTACTATTTGGCTATCGGAAGAGAGGTAACAGTATTAATAATCATATTTCAGTTGTCCCATCCTTCACATGACTACTTAGGTAAGGGTGTCGCAACTACCAGCTGCGCAAAGCTTGAAAACTTATCACAGAGCTCTTCATCCGTCGTGGAATATTAGCCCTCTGAGTTTCTTGCCGGATATTTTCAGTAGGTCGCGTTACTCTGTCACGTTGGTAGATTCCGCGAACCACTGCTCTTGCTACGGCTAGTGTTAGCAACATCATCAGGCCTGAGCCCTGTGAGCTGACCTACTCGCTTGGTTACGCTGGCATAGCCTCTAAAGGCTAACAGCTAAGGTAGAAAAAAAATTGGAATACATTTAAGAAAACGTATTAAGTACGTCCTTACTTGGAAAAATTGGTATTTCCTATTTCCCACACAAAATATAACTAACTAATATTACCATGAACGAAGTCGAGAACCAGTCAAGTGTAGGTACGTTTTAAATTAATTGATAAGAAAAGCTGTTAAAGCCAATTAATGAGTGGCGCAATTAACGATACAAACTCTTGATTTTGTCATTACTTTCGTCGCTTACTAAACAAGTTTCGGATTTCCGATCCGTTTTATATGTAGCAGTTGAGGAGGCCCAGAGACCCTACTATGCGAATCATCATCAGCCTGTATCTCTGTACTGCTGTAGGCCTCTCCCATAGTCCGCCCACAATGAATGGTCCTCCGCCTTCCGCGTCCAAGGTTTCCCGCATTTCACTGCAAGTCATCGGTCTACTGGGGTACGCCCAACGCTGTGCTTACCGGTACATGGTTCCCAATCCAGTGGGGATGTCGTCGCCAAATTCAAGCCATGAATCAGATTTCCATTCGAACAACAACCGTTTTAACCACATAATAATTATGCATAAATATACGCATTTTGTTTTGATCGTTTGAACTATGGAGCTTAATTTAATTTATTCATTTAGTTTAGTTCGGTTTGAGATATCTTGTCGAATACACACAAATTATTCTTATCCACCGTGTGGTTGTCTGGAAGAGGTCGCTCTTAGCGATAAGACCGCTAATTGTTTTTTTTTTTTTGTATTTAACGTTATGCATTGTTTTTTTTTACGTACCATAAAGAATACTCTCTCTCTCTCTCTCTTTCTCTCTTTCCAACAATAATAGCGCAAATATTAGGTATAACGCAATGATCGTTCCCAATTCTAATCAGTGGTGAAACTATTGTGCCCCCTTGCATTTTTTCTTGTGAATATCGCTCCAAATATAGACCAAAATGATAAATGTAAAAGGCTGTGTGTGTGTGTGCATGTTTGTTGCTCAATCACACAAACACGGCTGAATAGATTTGAATGTATTTTTAATGACTCTTTTAGCTGCATATAAAGCGTAATGTGGACTACGCCCATAGACACAGCCACTGGGTTTCTCGCCGGATCTTCTCAGTGGGTCACGTTTCCGATCCAGTGGTAGATTCTGCAAAGCACTGCTCTTGCTAGGGCTAGTAAAAACGTCCTAGGTTAGAGCCCCGAGAGCTCACCTACTCGCTTGGTTACGCTGGCATAGCCCTTTAAGGCATTTTGGGAGGTAAGCTTAAGTAAAAAAAAGCTTACTACATACATTGGACATTCCCTATTATTACTGCAATACGATACTGCACGTGAAGTGTGTTATAACAAAACGTGAGATTATTGACGTGACGTATTACAAGACGTGTTTAATAAAAAAGAATTAAAAGTATTTTTTTTAATTTAAGTCTATTTCTTTACATATAGACATTAGTTGCTTTACCTAAAATTGCTATCGAAACTAGAGGAACGACTGATGATCTCTGGAACACTAAATATATCACGATGAAACACAGCAAAGAAACCTCTATTTTAAAATGCGGATTTAAAATAATTTAACCATAATTTAAAAGATATTTATTATTAAAATAAATCAATATTGTTCCACAATCGAACTACAAACATATAGTGTGTTGTTCTCTGAGAATACTTCAAGAATCTAAACATAAATAGGCACGTGTTAGTGATGCAACAGTGCATTCGCAGCTGACGTGACGTGTTCGCGCGTTGATGTCTTTTGTATTGAGAGCTTTCGAGTGAAAGAAACGTGCTCATAATGCATCGATATTGCGTTTTCCTCACGGGATATGTCATAGAATCGAGATTGGCGATTTGAAAATATATTCCTGCATAATTTTAGAGATTATTGTCACAATCATCCGCGTTTCCAGCCAGCTTTAGGATGAACTTTCCGCCACTGTGTTTTCATTTTATGAAGATACTTCACATTGGATAAATAATCATAATATTGAAGTCTCGATACGATTACAAACGCGATTTCTCTGCCGGATTCAACTTGTGGTGTTTATAAGCTCTTTTACACTTATATACCTACTAATATACAGACAGTAGTATTTTGTGACTTTTTTTCATGTTTTGAACAAACATGAAAAAAAAGTTCGAACAAGTTGTCACTTTTAGTTTTTGCTGGAACTTCAGAGAAGATTTCTGCATACTGCTGACCGGTATTGTCTGTAAGCTCCCGAAACCACTTCACTCCAAGCAGACGGTGAGCTTTTCTACGTATGTAGCAACTTCAAAGTAGAGTATGCGAGTAATTTCAACGGATATGTATATTAAGAATAGCATTTTAATAGTCGCGTCGAAACGTCGACGCATTCCATTCATACTATTAATAATCGTAATAAAGTAATAAAAAATGCTATATAAAATAAAAATTTGACCCTTTAGGTTTCCAGCACCACGCCATCTATCGTAGAACGTAATAAATAAATTCAAAACTTAAAAGCCTATCGACTCCCCCAGCGGAGTTCCCACGTGTTATTGATAAAAATCAATTTCACGTCTGGTAGTTTTAAAGTAAACAACTAGATGTCGTTAGTGCTCAAAGGTACTTTTCAAACTTATTTCAAAGCTGTCGGTCATTTTTTCAACTTTATTTTGTTCTTGTGTATTTTCATATCGTAACTTAATACTCGGTTAGAGAACTTATTAAATAATTATAAATAGATGATTTTCTAAAAAAACTATTTTTTTTTTAAATTATTAATGAGTAAATAATGTAGTATAAAGTGCGCGGTAAGATTTTTAACCGACTTCAAAAAAGGAGGAGGTTCTCAATTCGACTGTATGTTTTTTTATGTTTGTTA